TTATCATTTTTGTTTTCAGATTCCTATATATCTGGGATATGTCTTTCTGAGTTTCTTCTGTGCTTTTGTATTGTCTTTATTGATAGAAATACCTTGTATCTCATTAATGCGAATGTTCATCCAATACTTTAATGTAAAAGAATATGAATATATAAATAAGAAAAAATTGTAATATTCAAATATATAATGTTGCAATTTTATAAATATGTGAATGTAAATCAGTCTAAAGTTTTTTATTAAGAGATAAAAAAAATTTGTAATTATACACATAATACTAGAACACAGTCGGGGGAGGTAACGTAGTGAATGTAGTACTGTAATTGTTATACTTATTTGTTTTAATAATAAACAGATAATGATTTGTTTTGATAGCTATCATTTCTATATGGATAATAAAATAACATCGTGATGATAAAAAAATGTAATTTTAAATAAAATTGAATTATTAAATAAACAAATTGTTAAAATACAATGTAATACTTTATTTAAATACTACCATTAAATGTGGGTTTATTTAAGCTGGCAATAGTTGTCAAAGAGATAGTTCTTTTCTAATTTTTTTTGTCTCGCTCTCTCCCGAATCTTGTAAAATCACGTCCAGTGCATCGTGCCTAATAAATAATTGATTAAAATACTAAGACTTTGTATAATTAAACACTACTCTGCAACAGGTTCTGGGCCCAGGCCACATACCTAACAAAAATACAAAGTCTATTGAAGAAGTTTACCTAGTTGGACAAATACCGGTGAAAAGAAAATTGCCACACGCTGTGTGGGGTTGGAGGTTATGTTACCGGGAAGGTGAAAATACTTGCTACATAAAGGAGCTGCAAGGAAGGAAAACTAGTAAGAAGCTAAAAGATACACGATGGACGGAAATAACACAGTCATTAAACTGGAAAGAATAAAAAATTGGAATGTTTGGAAATTCCAAACAAGGGTTTTACTGCGCGGTCAAAATCTAATCGATGTTACGTCACAGGTGGCGATGTTGCCAAGCAAATCACCATGTGGCACCGGACAAAGGCGGGAATACACTCGCCTCTCGGCGACGCTGCCAGCAATCGAGCGACAAATCACCAGCAGCGGTTCGGAAGAGTTAAGGAGTATTAACGTACGAATCCCTGATCACTAGAATGAATGTGCGATTGAGCAGCAGGGAATCTAATTCTCAGCATTAACGCGATCGCGTATAGCTATTATTCCTCACGGTTAAGCAACGAAACGGAAAAGTTCGTGAGTCGGCGCGAGACAATGATGTCAGAAGCAGCGTTAGTATCGTCACGATAATATCGAGCGCGGACGTGTTCGATAGTCTCTCCCTCTTCTTCAAGTACTTCTAGGGCAACAACGAAAACCTCGGAACATGTGTCGCAGTGCTTGATTTCGCGGATTAATGAAAGCGGGGTACGACAACACTCGCAGTAATCTTGGGACGCGGTGAATCTGAATTGAAATGAATGAGTTAATTCCAAGCGGTAAGAGAGGGTGCCCTCGGGTATTAATTCTTTACAACGATAGCAGAGAAACTCGGCGCTATTAGGATAATCGTCGGCAGCTGAATTATTTATGCGGCGATAACCGAAGGAAGTAATGCAGCGCACTGAACCGACGCGATGTTGGAATACGGCGGCTGGATGCGTGCGCGAACCGCGGATGGCATCAGACCGGGGGAAGCACATTACACTAATTAATTAATAGTATCCGCGAAGATAAAACGCGTCCATGCGTGTCGTTGAATAATATTACGGAATATTATCGGAGCTAGAAAGTTTGAAACAAGCATTTAAGAGTGCATTTCCCGAGTGAAGTCGTCGGATGGGGCAAAAACTATGCCCAAAAAAAACAAAGGGGTCAGTCGTAAACCCTTCCGGTCAGGCATTCCCTTTGTAGAAGATCGTTGAACTTGCACAGACACGTTCGGCTGACGCAACAGGAAAAATAGCGCGAGAAATATACGCGTATACATATATCTTATAATAATTTGTTTAATAATTTACCTACTTACCTTTCGTTGGAAGCTTTCTGCAAATAGTCTTGGAGAGAGATTCGCGGCTGAGAGCGGGGTTCTTGGATGGTGCTGGATGATGTGGACTGCGCGGGCAGGGCGCTCCAGAGACGGTCGTGTACTAGGAGCTCGTACTCCCTGTCGAAGGTTACCTCCTCGCCGATGATTGCGTTGTGATCGAAAATCGCGGCCACATAAAGATCGTATTCAAGATGTCGTATAGCGTTATGCGCCCCGCGCGATTCTTCCGTGCCTTAGGCATTCGACAGAAACTTTAGGTATATATTTAATTAAAAAGTTAGGGTTAGGGTATCACATTCGGCTGCGAGCCAATTGCGCATTGGTTCGGCGTCGCGTCGGAATGCAGGAGCTACCACGTGCTCGAAGTCCGATGTTTCCTTCGTGGTAAGTGCGGATGACGCACAACACCTTGCCCCCAGAAACAATCGGAATTCTTGCTTTAATTATGAATTAATCGATTAATCAATATTGGACTTGCTATTAACCTAGTCGCCTCGTGCCCTCGCGAACACTTCCATTAATAGACGCGGTGATGAACTGTATGAAAGAGCAAACACGTGGTGATTCGAATTTAATATTAATATATTTAAACAATTGTTGTAGCCAGATCTACAACCAATAATAAAATAATAACCAATAATAAAAGTAGTCCGCATGGCAACAAAATTAGGTCGCATGAATCTCGAAAAGTCTTTCGAAAGACGACACAAATGTGTGACTGCCGAAATTGCAACCAGTTTTTCGAAAGACCGCAGAAATGCATCACGCGAGAATATTGCGAAAAAGCCTATCAGCAAATTCCCAAATTTGATGATCAAACCGAGCGTAATATTGATTAATCAATATCACGCAACCGATCGACGCAATCGATCAGAATGCTGACCGGGCATCGATTAGACTATATATAATTAGACTATATAATCGGTTACACAAGGCGGAATTGGGAGAGTCAAGCATCAAGCATAACGTGTCGTTCGGAATCGTTATAATAAACATCGCGCAAGACATTACAAGAGCGCGGCGAAGTTCATTATCAGCATCTCAGGTGACATACTCGATCGTCGGCCGCCAGAGTAACGCGATACGCGCCGAGCCATCCGCCGACGTTTAACCGTGTGTAAAGAAATAAAATAAGCAATACTAAATTCAAGAATTTGTGCATTTATTAAATAAATCAATTAAAATAAAGAAAGTGTGTTAGTGAATTCAAGAAGATTTCCTTCCATTCTTTTGATCCTGCTCGGAGTCCCAACTCCTTAGGCTTAACGAACCTGACTATCTCTAATATTATCGTTGTAGCCCATCCGGGGTACAACATTTTGGTGGCAGCGGTGGGATGGTCAAAACCATCCCTAAGAACAACAACTTGAGAGGATCATTGTTAATCAAGCCAGCAGAATCAAACGAGTAAGCCCCGACGCATTGCATTACGGGCAGAAGAAGAAAAAATTTTTTCTTGAAAAAAAAACAAGATAAGACCTGCAGTAATAGACATTACAAGCAGGCAGAAGAATCAAATTCCCGATAAGCCGAAAATACAAGACCTGTAGAAAACAGGCGGACGGAAAAGGCCCCGTCAAAAAATAAGCCGCCCACAAAATTGTGTTAAGTGTACAGTGCAACATTAGTAGAGTGCCGACCTACGACAACGAGTGTCCAGTGGCAGCGGAGCAACGACCAGAGAGTCCACGAGCACCGAGAGCCAGCCAGCGCTGACCGTGTACAACGATATCAGGCAGCAAGGACGCTTCACCGACACGCACTACTACACGCAGCCAACTGACACGCCAGCACAAGCAGCGACCATGCGAGCGTATACGATCTATCTACTATTGTAAGTCCGAAAAATTATATTTTAAAAAGGCAAATGTCCGCAGCGAAGGACAGCTTAGCGAACTTGGCCAAAATCGCGGTCAATAAATAACTCTGTCAAATTTCCACATACTATCTGGTCGTTGCTCCGCGTTAAATACCGCGAGAAACGCGTTAAAAGAAATACGCGATAACATGCGCCGCGTACTACGATACGAGAATGACGAAGACGTCCACGTAATAACCGAACGCGAATTTCCGTACGACGAAAAAGATTACAGCTTGCTCGAACCGAACGACACCGACTCTCACATTAACACACACGTACAAACGCGCAAACGCCTACACACGAGATGGAAGCATATTTAATTCTTTCAACATATATCAATCGTTAATAAACGAAATGGCTCACTCACCTGTCGAACAACAGAATGAAATCGACAACGAAATTTTGCAACTACGACATTCGGTCGAGAGACATGGACCACAAGAAAGTCGAACGAACCGCCGCGTCACAATCGACGCACCGCCCGATAACAATCTCCTTCGAGAATTAATGGATGAAATACGCGATCTCCGTGTGCAAGTTAACGAATTAAGCCGGCAAACACAATTGCCTATAAGCGAACGAACGAGAATATCTCAGGATTTTCTGCCGCACCCGTTAGATCTAACTTACGGACGTTCGTATCAAGATATACGAAACCAGCCGGGAAATGCACTGACATTCCTCACACTGAAAGACGTGCGTAACATGATCCCAGAGATCGACGGCACGTTACGAGGACGCGTGTACGAATTTCTAAATGCAAGTACGTACGTGATAAAAAATATACATCCCGCGGATGAACATTCTCTATTAGAAGCCATTCTTTGCACTAAATTCAAAGGCAAGGTCATGATGGATTTCCGTACACGAGATATAATAAACTTCGAACAATTAAAACGAGAACTAGAAAAAGAATATCTGAGCAAACGAAATACCGCACATTTACAACTCGAATTTAACTCGCTCAAACAAAAATCAAACGAGAATGCACAAGAATTCGGCAGACGAACAGACAACATAGCCATGGAATTATACGAATCCATGGAAAAAGGAAAAAATCATACGGTCGAACAGCAACGCGCGATTTTAGAAAATATAAAAGAGCAGGCGCTCTACAATTACCAGAACAGTTTACACGACGAAATTAAATTAATTGTACGATCGCAGCGATATCAAACAATACAGGAAGCAATCGCAGGAGCAAAAACGCGGAAGAAAAAACGCGAGGACCTAGCACGCGAACGCTAATCTATCGAAACCGGCCAGTATTTAAAGCGCATACACCCAGTCCGCGTTGTGAAAAATGCGGAAAAATCGGTCATTACGGACGCGATTGTAGGACTAGCCGTTTGTCAAATAGATATACCCTACCTAAATCAGAAGGACAACCACGAATAAATACAATTGAAAAACAGTGTAGCTATTGCAAAAAGATAGGACATTTACGGCACGAATGTTGGACATTAAACGGAAAATCGGAAAACAGCAAAAATTCCGGAAAAATTTTTTCGAATTCGCGAAGAGAAAATCCCGCGAAGAACTTCAAAAATAAAAAGACCGAAACCGGCGAAGATAAACCGACCGTCCCGCTCCCCGCGTCAGAGTATCGCGTGGCACATGTCAAGGGGATATCGCTCGTCAACACTGGATTAAATGCGATCACATTACCGATTGCAGAAGCCAAAGGTAGAAAAATAAATTTCTTGATACAGGAGCATCAGCAACAATAATAAAACTAAAACATGTTCTAGACTACAGGCATAACAGGATATGAAATAATAACATTGGGCAAAACACATGTTACGATGCAACTGTCGCGAAAAAAGATACGACACCCCGTATACATAGTGCGAGATAATGCGCCAATGGAATACGATGCAATCCTAGGAGCAGATTTCATTTGGAAATACATAACTGCGTTCAATCCAAAAACAAATTCAATACAATTTCAAAATACGAAATTCAGACTGTACCCATACAGGCGCGTAACTTTAGGGCCGCGCAGCGAAACAATCGTGCAAGTCAAGACTAACCAAAACATAATTGGATTGACGAAACCAGAGGAAATGATACCTGGAATTTTTATTGGATGTTGCCTAGTCGAACCACGAAATTATATATGCCCAATCAGTATAATAAATATTACGGAAGAAGAAAAAATCGTGCAGGTACCACAAGTAATATTAGAAGAAATAAATATACAAGAAAAAATAACACAGGAATCTGTGAACGCAATACCAGTACAAAATCAAAAGGCAACAACAATAGCAAAAGAGTTAGTAACAAAAATCATTCTAGAATATGGAATTCCAGACAAAATCCTGATCGACCAAGGAACAAACTTTACCAGCGAATTATTTAAAAATACGTGCAAATTATTAAAAATACAAAAATTGCAAACGACGGCCTATCATCCAGAAACAAACGGAGCACTCGAAAGATCACATCGGACATTAACCGAATATTTACGACATTATATTAATAATGATCAGACAGACTGGGACGAATGGATACCGTATGCGATGTTCGCATATAATACGACACCGCACACCGCTACGGGATTCACGCCGTTCGAACTGGTATACGGGCACCAGGCACCACTACCTACGGCCCTAACGAGCTCACCGAAATCATCGTACACATACGATGATTATGCGCAAGAATTCCATGAAAGAATACGAGTCGCGAATCAGATAGCAAAGGAAAACGTAAAAGAAGAAAAATAAAAAGCGAAGGAAATCTACGACAGAAAAACAAAAATACGCACGTTCGAAATAGGAGATAAAGTCCTATTACACGACGAAACAGTTCAGCGAGGGAGATCGAAAAAACTAGACGCGTTATGGATCGGACCCTACACAATTTTAAAGAAAATAGGCGATTTAAACTATAAAATAAAAATGGGCCGCCGAACGATAAATGTGCACGCGAACCGAATTAAACCGTTCGTTGAAAATTAAAAGCAGATAAAGGAAAAGCACATAACACAAAATAAGAATAATATAAGAATAATAAGAAAATGAAAAATAAAAACATTGGGACTTACTGAAGAAGAATCTCAGCAGGTTCGGAAAAAAATCCAACATCCAGAATTACAAAAGCACTACAGTACTACACTACAGTACTTTATTTTAAAGAATGTTCCCCGGAGGGCATCACACCCTCCGGGGTAGATACACAGGAAAGCGGCTAGGCCGCGCGCAAAATTAAAATACTATATTGGCGGGGGACAATAGCCCCCCCCGCCTTGTGGACACTAGAACTAATGTGGCTGGCGGGGTCGCTCCCCGCCAGCATGCGCAGATTAATATTAAATAATCCCCCCAGCTCGCGTGCTGGGGGGATGACGCAATAATATCGTATTTCTGAACGCCCTCGCGCCATATTACTTACCTAGTTACTTCTTAGTAACTTTTTCAAACGGCGCGAGGGACCTAAGGTTTTTGTATATTCCGCGTGAGCAAATCACGCGGAATTTAAATTAAATATAACATTTTGAGCTCGCGGGCGGATTTTCATTAAAATTTGAACTGCCCAGCCGGGCAGTCTTAGCTCGGGGAATTAGTTAGGTCTAGTTTGTAAGTCGAGTGTGCGTGTGCGCGATTGGCCGAGAAGCGATTTCGCATTTTTGTTTACCGCGTCGCAACTTCGAGTTAGTTCGCGCGTGCGCAGTGATAGTGCCGGTATCCGCGAGTGCCACCAATAGTTTTTAGACTTCTCGTGGACGGTGTTGGCGGCCCCAAATAATTTTTACACTTACCTTTATTTAGTTTAATTTTACCGGGGCCGCCCACGAACGAATATGTCGAGTCCACGGGAAGTCGTTATTAATTACCCGCTCCCCGCGACTTTTAGATGCCCACGGTGCTGGCTAAGCGAGTCGGCACCGTCACGGGTAAAGGGGGAGTATTGCGACTCGGGGCACTTACTCAAACATTTGCGAAAATGCCACCCCGGAGACACGGTGTGGTACGCGTGTGGCGTGTGCGGCCTCAGAGGCACGGGACACTACCCGCTAAGGACGGTCAAGGCGCACTACGAGGCCGAGCACGCCCAGTCTCCGCGGGTGGACGCCCCGGGTCCGAGCACTCGCGGAACCGATGTGAGTAGTGGCAGTGACGGTGAAAGCGGTGTGACGCGTGAAACCAGTGCGGCGAGCGCGACTGCGCGATCGACGGCGGCGGCCGACGGACTGACGCGGCGCAGGGCTGCTGATCCGCGGCCACCCAGATTGCGCTCCACCGCCACCCCATCGCCAACAACAGCGCCAGCACCACCGGCCAATCAGACGTCCCCTTCATACGCGGCCGTAACAGCGGGCACAACGGTGACGAAGAGGTCGTCGCCGGTCACCAGCGGTGCCCGCGGAGCGGCCGCCACCAGGAAAGCCGCGCCCCGCCTATCACCAACATCCGGAGGAGGAGCGGCCGCTGCGAGAAGGACGACGAGGACGACGACCGCCGCTTCAACAAGTAAGTGTCGAGTGTTGTCGGTAAATAAAGTAGACGCGCCCATCCGCATGGCCACCACCACCGGCGCGGCGCCCGCGGTGCCCAGTGCATCGCGGTCAACCGCGCGCGGCCAGCCAACCACAGCGTGGCCCGCGGTGCGAGGGGCACCGCGAGCGAGCACGCGCGTGGTGGCCAAACCGCCGCCCGCGGCAAGGTCGACGCGCGTCCCCTCCCAAACTCCATCACCACCAGGGGCAGAGAGCGACGCCAACTCAAGCGGCAAGTTATTCGCGTTTGGGAGGGGAGCAGCGAGGAAGAGGCCGCCCGTGGCCCGCAGTCCACCTCAACGGGCGGCAGGCGCGTCGACCGAGAAGAGCGGCTCCGTGCCCAGGCTGAGACCATCCCCCCCTGTCCTCCGCAAGAGGGTGGTTCACTCGCCATCCTTGAGCGGAGGAACACCCACGTTCGGCGGTGAGGGGGGCCACGCAACATGAGCCTGCAGCGATCACCCGGCATAACACCACCGGTGGCCAGGACTTCCCCACCGGTGGTGACGAGGACGCCACCGCCAACTACATCCGCGGCGGTGGCAGAGGTAGCGGCAACGACAGCAGCAGCGATTAGCCGGGTGATCGCGGTCTCGGCCGAGAAGATCGCGGAGATAGCGCGGCGGGAGATGGGCTGCGTGACGTCGCGGAGCGCGGGGGGACCTGTGCAGCGGACACCCCCGGAGAGACCCCCCGCGCGGGTCCCCAGCCTGCCGCAGAACACCCGCGGCAGTCCAACGGGGACCCCACCGTGGGCCACGCCATCGGCCTACCCGCGACGTCCATACCGGCAACGCTGACGACATGCACGGTGACGACGTCGGTGTGCGGCGGACCGGTGATGTCCGCCGGTTCCGCCGCTGGGGAGTGGCACACACCAGCCGTACGCCACTCCCCTCCCCAGCCAGCAAGGGGAACGTCACCGTGCACGGCGGTCGTGCGAAAGACGCCCCCAATTGCGCCAACACCACCATCGGCCGAGGGGGCAGCAGCGAGGCGGCAGCGGGGTGCGGCCATCGCGACGCCACCACCAGCGATCAGCGAGGGGGACCAGCTGGGTGGCGAGTGGAGAGTGCATCTGGGGCAAGAGCGCTGAGGCGCCACTCGAGCGGCAGTTCCGTCGGCTCCGTGTCGCCGGCGACATCGGGGCCCGTGAGTCGAG